CCCTGTTCTTAGATAAGCCGCTACCCACCTTACGCCCAGTTTAAATGTTTTTTTTTCTTATTTTCATAGCATCTCATAGCCTACTGCTGATAGTGGAACTGCAATGCAGCTTGAAAGAAATCAGCAGTGTAGTTATACGAGAATGGGAACTTGTGAACCGCGGTTCCTTGCTTTAAATACATCCACACAGCTAAGTGATTTCAAATGTGGCATAAGTGAGCAAAAGAATAACTTCGTTTCGATTACTTCTTAGGCAAGTTTACTAACACACCACCAAAGTCAAGAATCTTACTTATCACATTATCATTTTGTGGAAAGCTTTGCGGACAGTTAATGCAGATGCGATAGAATAAAAAAAGTGTTTTGAAATGGTTTTTATCATCGTCGGCACACTTCGTGTTTAAACTGGTAACTTCTGCTCCACTAATATCGTTTTTTTCCACGGCTCATATGCGTACCTTTGTAAATAGTGCAATTGAGGAACTTCTTAGGTCTGATGGATAACTGTATGAGGATACTTCCTCAAAAAAGAGGTTTTTAGACTTACAAATTAAATTTTTGCGAGACAAAATGTCTTTTGCACATGCTAGTCATAAATTACAAAATAAAAGTGGTCTTTGAAAGAGGCCTGAATGGAATTGGCGGAAACCTCTGTCACAAATCGGAGAAGCTGAGAATTAAAAGCATAAAAGTGCTTCAAGCGAGAATGATCTTAGGGCAATTTGTTGGAAGACCAAATGCAGGGCTGTCTGACCAATTGACGATCTAAGTAAAATCACAGCGCCACACCTCGACGCACTTCTGAAGGCGCAATCAGACCCATGGCACAGAGGACGCCATGCCAAAGACATGAATAAATCGCCATTAAAATAAAGACTGCGATAGATATGACGAGCCTGTTAGGTATACAACATAAACAAACATCGATTCAGTAGGAGGCGACTTAGGATTCCACTCTACAATATCTACTTCCTATACGCTCTGTCATAATGTTTGAATAGTTTTAATAGTGACCATAAATAAAGATAAAATAGGTTTTTATAACATAATAACAACTTGAGGTTACAAACAATTTAGCTCTGGTTTATTGGAAATTCGGATGATTTTGTAGAAGTTATCCGGCTGTTCGAAACACTTTATTACTAAGGCATCGGATATCCATTCGCCATGCATTGAACATGCATTAATATCTCACAGATACGCATAAAATCTCCATTCCACAGCATCAACAGTGCTGCCGAATCAGCGTGGATACCAATGGCCTCCTTTTTGTCATCTTTGCACAGTTCAGAGCCTGCAGTTTGCTTCCAGCCAATGAAGGCTTTCATGAAGCAACAACTTTGTGCAGGGTGTCTACCTCTCCAGTTTCCACCTGCTGGGCTCCTCCATCTCACAGTTTTCTTCATGTTGATTTTCGTCACTGCTCAGAGTTTTTGGCCACTTGTGATCATAAAATGAACAAAAGTACTTATTTGGTGCATTACAGGGTCTCTGCGGCTATTTACCAGCAGAGGTACTGCTAAATGTTAATTAATAGGAATAATCTATCATGAGCGTGTCATTTCATTTAAAAGTCAGCTGCTTTATAAATTATTCACAAGTAGAATTGCATAAAAATAATGTTCCAAATCAAAAAAATTACATTGGCTTAATGGTACGTACGACCAGACGGGGTTTTCAGCCTCCACTCCGGTAATGTCCGCCCGCCGCCTGTCAAGTTCGCAGCGTATTAAAGCAGCAGTCCTCCCATTTCTTTTGAAAGGACTTTTGCAACGCTGTCATGACTCTTTAGATTTTGCTCTACTTTGTGCAGTAAAACAGAATGAGAGAAATTATTTGCATATAATGGCTTTTACGATTTAGCATTTATTTAGAAGTGGGTTGTCTTGCGAAGTCTACTTTAATTGGACATTTCATTTCCATGGGACCGGTGTGTTTAAAATTGGCTAGTTTACTAATTTGTGTATCTATACCTTCTCATTACCGAAAAAGTTAACCTCTCTTAAATATTCTCAAGTTTTACCAGCTACAAAGACACTCTTGTGGGCCAGGACCTTCTTTTCTCCTCCACAAAGCCTAATTTTGATACACATAGACTCGCCAGAGGGTCTATCTAAATCCCATGTGAGTGCAATAAAATGGTGCTGAGTTGACTTGCTGTCCGCAATGTCCGTATTTATTTTACTAACTCCTCCTGACAGAGTCGAGTCTGCCTCCAAAAACATTCAGAACTGTGAATGAATTCCGAACCGTGCCTATTTAGTTGAAGAAGGGGGAAGTATCACTTTAATTTTGAATGCATCATTGAATTGGGCAAATGAATGAGCGCTCGAAAAAATCGGAGGTGGATTTCAGGTCCATTAAAATCAAATATTAATTATTGAGAGAGAATTTCGAAACATAATTTGACGGGAATGTTGTTGCTAAATATCATTGGCCAAGAGTTCAATTTTTTTGACCTAACAAGAAGATGATTTTGTTTTGAAATAAGTCGCAGTGTGAGATCAGGAAGGATTTGGGGCAGAAATGAACTCTTCACTTCCTGGTAGAAGAAAATATTTGCCCTGGTGATATCCGCTTTATTTGAATGTCATTTTGGAGTCGGAATTAATTTATTTCTTGTTCACTTTTTTACCAAATGCTATTTTTGACTCAATTATGGTAAATTGCTTTAGTTAAGCATATTTACCTTTGATAATATAATGATTTAGTTAACAATTAGGGAAAATGTATAAAGCATTTCCATTAAATTTCATTTCAAAAGTTCACTTTAGACTAAGCTGCTAGCCTACTAATTTATCAACATGAGAGTTACTTGCTTCCAATGTACTAAATTAGGGATCGTACTCTGCCTTCAAGTTTAAGCTTAGTGGCCCGAAACCTTGTTGAAGATAAAGAGGAAATTCTGGCAGAAATTGTATTGACGACGTAGAGAAGGGCTGGGGGCTACTCGCATGGCTCAAAGGCCATGCCGCCCAGGGGGAGTACAATCGGGGCGTCCTTAAGCGCTCGCGAAATAAAAATGGCGAATTAAATAGACAATCAAAGTATTACATATTTATACCTGTTTCCCTAGACGAATTAGAGTTTACTCGAAAGCGAACACTGGTTCTCACTTTTTGCTATTGGAGTTACTGTGGCAACTTTAAACGGAGTCTCTAATTACCACTAGTGCGGTGAAGCGCTAATAATTAGCCCCGCCTCATAAATTATTATGTACGGGGTGAAGCTAAAGTGAACATTCCTGACAATTTGCTAGTACATTTTACTGCACCGAGAGACAAACGTCCCATTTTTGACAATTAAATGTGGACAGGCAAAACGTATTTTCGATGTCACCATACAATTGGACTTTAGCACACGTACAGAACGAAACTATTACCTTTTCTCGGTCCACCCCTCATTGAGGGACCACTGAGAAAGAGCCAGTCTGCTTTATGCATATTATAAAATCAAGCAATTTTAACTTCACAGAGCCTCAAAATAAATGCCATTCAGAGGGCCGGGTGTCTTTGCTAATTGGCTCGAAAGATTCAAATTGGGGAGGAAGATAAATTAGGATCTTTTTTCCTCAAATCTATAAGAGAACTCTGAAAAGACATCTACGTTTGTACACCTACAGGTAATCCTCGAAGCTCACGCAATCCATAGAGCAAGCAATAAATTATTGAATACCCCGCAACCGGTCCACCAGACAATCCCAAACACCTCAATTAATCGCCCGAAAAGGCGAACAGAACCTAGACCTGGGCACATTAGGCTAAGGAGCGCGCAAACATTTAATCAAAACCACCCGATAGAGAAATTAGCTCCCTTAATTGCGCTTTGACCTTGCGAGGGCGATGCAGTGCAACCTTTACAACATTGAGATTGCAGTCACTCTCATAAGTGTGCCCTGTTAACCCCGCTAGTATACGTACTGGTACCCGTGATGTGAACATCAAATGTATAAACCACCGTAGTTGGCTTGCGGTTTTACCCTACAAAATCTGATAGAAACGATCAGCCGTAAAGAGGATGATTTTTGTACTAGGGAACGATAAAAATATACCCGAAACAAACAACTCCACGCCTCAAAATAGTCAACACGACATGAATAGTATCGAAGTAATTTACTGATCTATAGAACAGCTGGGAGCAAATTGTCGGGAGAGGAAATTGAAAAAGAGATAGAAAGGAAAGTGTCACGAAGAGGGAGGGAAGTCAGGATATCACGCTTAGGAGGTTAATAGGAAGATAAACAGTTAGTCTAATTTGCTGGATTTGCTACGATGGCTGGTGGTCTCAGAGATGTTCCGATTCGCCATTGAAGCTGAAGTGCTATTGCCTCCGACATTTCTACTCAGATTGCTCCACCCACGTCCGGCGTCATCGGCATCCCAGTCCGAGTTCCACCAATCGTTTGACTCCTCCTTTGGCGTTGACTGCTTAGTCTCTGAAATCAGGAAAAAGGAATAAATTTGAAGCCATAAGAACATTGCGCAACGGAATAGCCATCAGTCAAGAAATGAGGTGACATAAACATACCCTCTGTACGAGTGCAGTTATCTCTAGAGAAGTCACCTCCCCATCCATCAGCATCGTTGATGTTCTCATCGAAACTCTTCACGTTTCGACCCAAATCACTATGAAAAGATATAAAAGGCGCCCTGATGTTATAAATTATTAATCAATCACACCAGGTAAGGATTTTACGACACAAAGGATGTGCGACAGACATAAAACCTGGCTGCCAATGTTACTACGACGCCGTCTGCTAATTAGGAGTTCAGACCAAAAAAATCAACACCACTAACTCGCACAGACACAGAATGCTTCACCACGTGTGGAAAATGAAAAGAAACTGTACAACTATGGCTTGCCCTGGTAGATTTACTGAAGTGTTTCAACAAACTAAAAAGAATAACCTCCAGATGTATTCCAATCACGCGGTTTTCTCAAGCGCCATAAAAAACAACACTCAATTTCATAAGAATCAACTCACGTTCCCTCTCCATCTCATCTAAACAGTAATGATTAATGCAGACCCAACAAGTGGCGATAAAATCGTCTGGATTGCCATTTGTGTCAAAAAAACCACGCATACAATTATCGCTTTCATGGCAATGAAACCTTGAATGGCCCTTCTTGAAAAAGTGGGTTAGTCACAAAAGCAGCGAGGGCCATGCGACGTAGGTTCAAATCAGATCATGAGTGTTGGTGATACCTCCGACCTCAGAAAAAGGTTCTCGTTAAAAACTTGAAAGGTTTTCACTTTCGTAGTTTTTTTGTAAACACCCTAAAAAACCGCCTCTCGCACCTTTCCTCCTGCTCGGTAAAAGTTTCGTTGGCGCCACTTTGAGGGCCCAAATAGTCACTCTAAGCTCACGATAAAGCAGTCACCATAAGTAAGCTTGACTAAGCCCCAGGCCCAGTTCCATAATTCCCGCTGGCCAGCCGTCAGGTTCATGCTCGCATGTTAGTCAGTAAAGACAGAAATTGACAGTAATAACGACTTTGGGGCCTATAAAAAAGGCGGAAAGGAGAGAAAAAAACTGCAGTAAGAAAAAAAACTCCTTTTACTTTTCTACACGATCCTCTGTTACATCCGCGCCCCTACTACCAAATGGCTCGAAAACGACATGGCACCATCTGTGTTGTGGAATACGCTCCTTCGGCAGTATTTCTTCCCATGTGTGAGATTCTGAACCAGTTTAAATGCCTTGCAGTAACTGACTAAATTTATCTGCCCAAGAGGCAATAAAAGCCAAAGTAAAGCTACTTCAATAGCGCTAACACTTCAGGTGAAAGCGTATTCAAAGAAAAAAAGGCGCCACGGCAAAACGTTGACAACTGTTAGAAGCAGGCAAGGAGAGCTTGAATATTGAATGTTGTTGCCAGGTTGCCCCACTCTAAGTGGCTGGGTGAAGCCACAGGAATGCAACAGTAGTAGGGATTAAAAATTGTTTTGTTAGTAGGGAAGGGGGGTGCTCAATACTTGTAGTAGATGTTTCGCGGCCTTTTCCCTGTAAAAAGAATGTTTTCTTGCATAGGCAAGTGAATGCTGTGTACCGAAAAGCGCTGTCGCAAAACGAGGCAAACCCCTCATGGGTGCATCGAAGTTGCGGCAAATAGTGACGTGCAGGAATAGGCAGAAAACAAGAAACCAGTCAGAATGGGAATGTTTTAAGCAAACGTTTCTCGCGTTTTTTTACTTTTCTGTCACGCAAATTGGAAGGGCGGAATAGGAATGGGTACTTATATCCAAAAGTTGCAAGGCGTCATCTAACTTGGGTTTACACTTTCAACAGCGAGCCGAAGTTGGTCAACATTTAGATGGTTCATGCTATAAATAAAATGCTTTCCTTTCCAAATGGTAGATTTTCCGCCAACGAGATAAAGCTGGAACATTTTAGGACTGTTGTCAAATGCAAAACAAGTTTCTCTCTTAAAATAGATACAAAATTGGTTAGGCATTAATAAATCAAGTTCTCGTAGAACAAAAGTATTGACTGTTTTAAATGATTGCTAACCTGAGAACTTCCAATTGCATACAAACGATGATAGAGCATGGTGATTTTGTCGGCCCCTTCATTTTACGCTCTTTGATAGATATCGTCATGCGATTTATGCTTAAAAGAAGTTCTAATAATGCCAGCTGGAGAGAAGAAAGAGGCAAAAATGTTTCTGGCTGCCAGATATTGTGGAAGAGGTCAGGTTTATTTTAAGAGGGTCATAAAAAAATAGCTCAACAAATCATTTGCAAACATCACAATCTAGATCAATCTCTTATAAAAGACAAGAAATTCGTTTGTAAATGAGTATCAAGTGCGTGGCCTGAAAACACTGGGGATTAAAACAAGCTAAATTGAACGAATGAAAAAAAACATTTTTACACAGAGTGCACCCCACTATCCACAAGCGAAGCAACAAATGATTCGAGAACATTTAAATAAGTATTTGCAGAAGTATGTTACACGAGTACCCCAATTATGCATGTCCATGAGAATGACCAAGGATGTGCCGATTTTACCGACCATAGAACATCAAAGGTTGTAAATGAGTGGGCGAGTGGGTGAGTGAATGTATGTGCGTGTGCATGTGTAGGTAAAATCGCTGCTACGGCAACCGATTTGCAGATCAAAGCGCAATCCCGTATCTCTGGGCTCAATTTATTCGTTACATGTGAATATAAAACTCCTTAATCTAGATATCTCCAAAAAAGTCAACCTACTAGCATAACGGATAATTTCCGAGGCAAAAGACCATCATTTTTAATTGCCTGGCCTGCTACCAATGAGAGCGGCCAATTTCAGGCATTTGATTCGGAGACAATGTCATTGTTCAAACAGACAACACATTTTCCAGCAAAAATGAGCCCACATTTGGGGGAGAGGAGTTGTCAGAGATGCGACTGCAGTGCTAATGGGGGATTGCGAAAACAAATTGCGTGATCCACTTATTTGCCTTAGGTTTCCTACGAACATAAAACCAAGAAGAAAAGTGAGAAGCCTGCCAGGCTGCCCTCTTCTCAAAGAATCACAACAGCCATAGGTAGTCAGGTAGGTCTCAGTTGGCTGTTATTATGAAAAAATGCGAGAATATCGGGGAAAAAGCGAATAAAACTACCAAATAAAGAAGGATCAGAAAGTAAAGTAAAAGTGAAAGGTCTGCTAACTTTTGTTAAAAAGGGTAGTGATGACTTTAATTGAAGGTCCTCTCTCTTAAAACACATTACAATGCACCGGTCTTTAAAACAAGGATAGCAGTTCCAGCTTAATAGACCCCTCGATCTGACCAAAAAAGCTATTCTGCATGAGAGGAGGGGAGAGGAGTCCCTTCACAAATACAATACCCAAACTATACCAGTACTGTTTCTGTCGATGACTAACGAAACCAGTACCTGGTAAGCGGACCTCGTAGGATATGTCATCCTTCATTTAGACCTATCTCATCCCATTAATAGCGCAAAAATACTGACCCTGGTATTGGTAACTGCTCGCGTCTAGTAGTATAGGCGGATCAGCGCATTTTTTTCCAGAGACTCCTAGCAGAAAATTCATTTTTAAATGTATGTATTAGTAGGGATCATTGATCCCTGTTTCAAAATTTCAATGTTCATATATACCTTCAGAAATAGCCATTTAGATATTGTCAACATGGGATCACATAACTTTTATGAATAAAAACGGTGTTGCTAGAAGGATGGGAGACAAGGGATCATTGAATAAATTTCAAAGATTGTAACAAGTATTTTAACCTTGCGAAGATATGAAAAGGCCGAGTTATTGGCGCTTTGATATAACGCGTTCAGCAAATATTATTGTTAATGACCGAACAGCTCAATCGAATTCTGCGAATTGTTCAAATCCTTAAAACATGCTCTGGAAACTCGTTCTTGCGATTATACACTATGAAGAGTGTACCGTACAATGTGTTACTTTTTGAAATGCAAGACAAAATTCGGCAACCTCCGCAAAAAATACTTCCCATAATACCGTCTGTGCTTTTTTATAAATCAGCAGCACAAGCTCATTTCAACCGCCTCGAACGGAAATGCAAAACGAAAAAAAAGACCTCACGTCGCCCACCCAGTTTGAGACCTCTAAAAGAAAATTATTAACTTACTTCAACAATTATGCATCAACATGATTCCCAAACGTGGTTCTAGGAAACTGACGTAAACAACACTTTCTAAACCGGAAAAATAATATAGGTATAAGAGCGTTGTGGTGGTAGAACGCTAAATGGGAGTAACATAGAAAGCCCACATTTACAAGTGCCGTTAAAGACAATCTGCAACTTTTACCGTTGCATCTATTGACAAGAAATGCCGTCGTGTCAATACACCCTTAATCAAGATGACAAGCAACAGTAGTAGTGCGTGTGTATTGGTGTGCGTGCAAAAACGCGTGGTGAATTAAACTGTCCTATAATGGTTCAGACGTAGTGACATCCTCCTTTCCCGAGCTCCTCAGATATCAGCTAAACACTGGGATATATGGGTACATGAACAAAGAAACTGTGTAGAGAAGTAATTGCAGTTCCTACTCTTTGAAATTATCGGTTCATAGCCTATGAAAACTCAAGAGTCCCAGTTTCGTTGGGTTCGACGAAAGGGAAAGAAAGGATGGCTTACGCAGCGAGAGAACCGTAATTGGCATTCGAGGGTACACCGGTAGTGGGGGAATCGTCAAAGGACTGAGGCTGTTGCTGAAACGAACGCTGGTGAGAGCCCGCAGATGGCCGCGTAGCATCGCTCGGGGTCTGCAGGTAGCTCTGCATCTAGAAGAACGGAGAGCAGGAATAAATTACAGCGATGAAGTAAGTTACAAAAGATTTTAAAAAATGCACAGAGAGGTCACTGCATTTAGAGAGCACCAAACGAAGCCAAGAAAAAATACGATGGTGGTGAAAGGCCTGTCACCTTGCTTGAGAGATTTGACACGCCATCCGAGATGGTGTCTATCAGGCGGCCCTCTTTAATCTGAAAGAGAATGGATGAAGGGACGACAGAGGGCACAACAGCAACATGAGGAACAAGTACAGATGGAAACACGAATAATTCGATTCAATCGCTGTGGGGAAGAACTTACAAGACTGGATGCAGTGTACATCTTAGCCGATCTTACGTAAATAGTTAATGGTTAGGAAATGCGCTTAATATGATCACAGGAAGTGTGAAATCGAGACTTCCAAGGTGAAATAAACGTGGATAAAAAATAAGCCTTTCGTTCGAAAAATACGTTCGCGGCATCGAAAGGCTACTCTTCAGCCATAAGGTAAAGGTTTGAAACAGTGTAGGTAGGTGTAAATTGACTTCAATCCCATCATTTAGTCATTTTAGAAAGTCTACTTTCCCTAGAGGAGAATTCCTGATAAAGTACGCGTCAAGTAAGCACGTGAAAAGTGGAATTCGGAAGTCTGAAGGTAAAAAAAGGTCTTTTATTAAGGCAAAAGCAACAAGTCCGCAAATACAAAAATTCGTTTTCAAATAATGGAGCAGGCTTGACAACACGGATATCATGCAAAACTAAGTAAACTATAAGAGCAAGGCATATAGATTCGAGTAAATTTTTGATTGATTAGCTTCTATACCACCTCACTCAGGTATACCTACGAATCACGTGCGAAGGGTAAGTGCAAATTACAAGAAAATGATACCAAAATGGGACAATGAGCCCACCTTTGATTGGACGCTTTGCCCCAACTGTTTAGTCTTCTCAGTGGCCGTAGCGGCAAGCTCGTTGGTCTTCTTCACGGCTGCCGAGGCGAACATGCTGAAGCTGGACCAGCCCTGCAAGGAGAGGGACAAAGGCGCTCCATGAGGTATTCGTAGGTGGACTAACCCGTGAGGCCATTGATTCTCTCAAAGGCATATAACGGGAAGTTAGGCAAGTGCCCTACCCTCTGTAGGTCAATTAAGGGACTCGCGTTAACCTCCCCCACCTTGAGAAAAGGAAAAATGTGTTATGGGAAAGATTCAGGTAACTATTGTCCCTCTCAGTTATGGAATGGACGAAACGCGCTGCATAATGGATTCAATTGTTTTTTCAATCCATTATGGGTTCCATGAAAAAATTGCAAAAGTAAAAGTAATCACGCGCCACTGAGGCGTACCCAAGTATTTAATTGGGAAATGTGTTGTCACAGGAGCAATGTGTTAAACCAAAATAATGACAAAGTTATCCGCTTAATCTGTATTTTAATAACTCGGACCTAGTCGTAAAGCCAAATTAGACTAGATTTCATTTGACTATGCGAGCCCCTTCAGTCCTTTAGGTTTGATCACTATCACGGTGACATGGAGTTCTGTCCCATGTGGTTTACTTTATTGGCACATCAAAACGTCGGTGGGTGCATAATAAAGGCACACCAAAGCTCACAAGTCTTATGATGTCTTCAAAGAGGAATCAGACAATGCAACCGTTTTGGAGTTCGAAGTAGAAGATAAACATTTAGCATGATACACTACCCGAAGTCAAACCACTAATTACTTCGAGTTGTTGTGTTGTTGCACAAGTGCCTATGACACACTATTAGCTATTTGCTAACTTCATGGGTTGGTCAAATTTTCTAACTACTGTACGATACTTCACACATTACTTACCACCCTTTCCTTGGCGCCATCCAATTTGAACCATAAAATGGCATATAATCTCCTAACGGTTAACTTCCCAATCCCTTTATTGTCGACTGCACAATTTACCATTCTCATCTTGAGCTTTGCACTGATCTACCAGACCATATTATAGGCCGTGATGTAGGAAGTCCAAGAATGCCCCAAAATTTGTCATCATATACTGTTTAGATCATAGTATTTGCTAAGGTATTGCTGAGGTCTAAGGTACCTTTCAATCTAAAAGGTGCCCATATATCAGGCAGAAAATATGTCGGGTATGCGTTTATGTAAGAACTGCGGCAATGCGCAGAAAATAAAACATTGGGTCCAAACTCACGCAGTCTAGAGATAGGGGGATTAGGTAAGATGAATGGATACGTGAATGGATGGACACATGTGGATAGATGTTAAACAGACAAATAGACGAGATCAACAATTGTGTATTTGGATAACATCTATGTGAAGGCATCATCAGTCGTCTAGTCAACGCACGATGAATAAACGGAAAAGCAACAATCAATCCAGGCAAGACAATCAAGGAACACTTAAGCTTCTATAGGACATGAATCAACAGTTCCAAAGAAAGGGAACTACATTTGCTGCTCCACATAATTTCTTGGTCCCTGTATCCACATATCCCAGAGTTTAGCTAATATCGTGGGGTGGGGGGTTGTGAAAGGGGGATTTGTCATTACATCTGAACCGCCATAGGACAGCCTAATCGCTTTGTCACCGGTGCGGGAAGTTGTCTCGGTATCAAGCAATCTTCTACAAATGGGAGTATGTGCCCATGAATTCAATTTTATGTCTTTATTCACAAGAGACTTCATTACCACGCATTGTTGCATGCACGCCTCTACACACGCACGACCACTGTTGTTTGTCATCTTGATTAGGGGTGTATCAAAATGGCGGCATTTCTTTTTATAGGCGTAAAATTAAAAACTTATATTTGACTTAAACGCCCTCTATACAAGCACAAAGTTTTGGAGTACTTATCCAACTGTCCTTTGTGCAAAAAAGTTCCTTTGCCTTTCCTTCTTGGTAGAATTCCTGTTTGAGCAACGCTCTTTATCACAATCACTGGTCTGGAAGACTTAAAAACATCCTAATGATAGCTTCACAAATAAAAGGCACAGTTAAAATTTGAGGAAGCATATCTTCAACTGTGCGAAAATAGGTGGAAGAGATTTGTGAAAGAAAAACCCACCAGCGCAATATTAATTAGTTAGCCGCATCTGTTTACCATCAAATTATCTGTCAAGAGGAAATAGTTTTTCCAATTTAACGATGAAGTGACAAGCAAAATTATCCAATTAGCTTGCGACCAGTGGGACGGTAGAAAACTCAACGCTAAATTCGCTATGAGCATGTGCGACACTTTACTGATTTACCTCTTCTCTTGCTGTTTACAGGGAGACAACAGAAAACTAAATGGGATTCAACATACAAATGAATATAACTAGTAATACCATTAGCAATGTCGTACATTACATATTTGGTCAATGATGTCCAGATAAGACATCACTACTTGGCCGGAAAATTGGACTGTAACAAGGAACCAATCAATTTTTACGCTTTATGTTGGAAGACTTCAACGGCAAATGAAGCAGAGAATAACTCATTTGCTGTCAAAATTTCGAAGGAGAATCCGATGTTTCTTTATTCCAGTTACTGTTATACGGGTTATAAACTAAAAGGTGTATTTATCCTCAAATCAAAAGCATTCTGCATCTACTTTAGCATCATCAACTTGACCAATCGGCTTGAAACACAATTTAGTGTAACCACAATTACAGGCTGCACTTTACGCTTTTGTTGCACTGGTTATGAAAATGATAGAGAATACATTAAAACAAAACTCACCAATAAGGCAACCAAAACCTTTTTCATTGCATTACATTAATAAAGCTTGAGAACGTCTCATTACCATGGCATAAAATAAATGCGGAAAGAATAGGCAGTTTTCAACAATGAATTCAAAACAATTTTAACTGCCTATTCTTCCACCACTGCTCCACTGTATGTATGTAGGCACAAATTTGCTATGCAAACACATCTAGACCCGATTACTTCATGCCCTTTAATAAGTACCCAGAGAGCAGGCGAACTTGGTGAACGTACCTCCCACTCCTTAACAAAGGTAACAGATCTTTTCCTCCTTTCCCCCTTCTCTAAGAATGGCACAGTTCGTTCATTTTTAGATATCAAACCACAGGTTTTACCCAAAGGGGAAAATTGCTTTTTCAACAAACTCCAAGCGACATTTGTAAAAATCCACCCCGCTTAAGGCTAAAGTGAGGCCTCAGAATGACGTGAGGGTATGTGTGCTTGTTTTGAGATAGTCACTATTACTGGGTGATGAGAAGAGAAGCTATCAAGTAGCCAACCCACCCATCTACCTACTTACCAGCCTATCCACTCAGTCGACAAGAAAGAAAGGTATGAAGATCTCATATCAATCACGGGAATTTCGACTAATTGCACCCCAAAGAAGCATAATTACACACAAGAAGTACTCTGCTTCCCTCACCCCACTACCAGTAACCACACCCTATCAACAATGTTATAGGGGTAATGCAGTGAAGGTGATATCAGTGGTGACAACGAAAGGCAGTGCCTGTGTCTATGGGCAATCTTGTACAATTAGAGCCGGAGGGGAATATTGAAAGAGCAGGATATACATTTCTAGCATCAAAAAAGATACAGCCATGGTACTGAAGAAGGCTACTACACTACGTAAGCTAAGGTTTACAGACAATGGACCTATAGTAACACAAAAATACTCAAATTGCATGCATAAAAAGCACCTGACTAGTGCTCTTTTGACCCAGAGCAAAATGAGGTACTCACGTCCATGAGAACTTTCATGGCATCGTCGTACGCAGAGGACTGAGGCTCGGGTTTATGTGAGATCGGAGTGTTGCCAAATCCCTCGTATCGACCGCCCTGGCTGGGTGGAGGGCCACTAAAAAAGTTAAATTATAAATGTGTTCAAGGTGACGTCGAAAAGTACAATTTCAGAGAATTTTGATTACACCACCAGTTCTTAAGTAGCTGTTCTGAAAACAAACAGAGGAGAAGTGAGCACTCCACAAATGGCCGATTCAAGGAGTATCAGAAAAAAAAATAACTTAAAAAAAACTGTGAAAAGACTCATCCGTTGAGTTTTAAACTTATTCTGGTGTTTCTAGAAAGGTCTAGTCCAATTTCGAGAGCAGCATAAAAAGAAAAGATGGAGGACTTTTAAAACCTCAGGCACGAATTCTGAATTACGACAAAAATGGCTTACAAGAAAGCAATGTCTAAACACCCAGACGCAATAAGACAATTTCAAGGAACATGATTTTACTGAAATTAGCAAAGCACGTGATAACATCTGTCACGAAATTAATGGTCTTTGTGGTGATTTGAAACATTGGGAGCTGCGCATTTATCGCAAAAAGAGGACCAAAGCTACACGAAGAAAATAATCTGATCCGCTTCTAACTTTCGTGTTTAACAAAACAAGTGGCCGCACATCAATAGGGGACATGGCTAAGTGGTCAAAATTTCCTTATTAACTTCCACAGTAAAGGCAAATTTCCCTTTAAAGTGTTTTGACCCATTATCCATACAAAAGCACGGACACAATTGCATTCCCAACAAGGAGGCCCGAGATGGTAAGACGCCGGGACAACCGGCGTACAATTTGTGCGCATCCGGATATGCAGGTGACCGGAATCTTGGATTACTGATGGCCCTGGAGCACCCATGGGAGGTTCCACCCCTCACGCATTCATGCCATAGCGAGGGTGAGATGTGCAGTGGTACGCATAAAGCACATCCCCTCGCGTTACTGGCTAATCCTGTGGGTTTCAGAACGAAGCAGGAAATGAGGGAATTTACTTTTTTGGATAAAAATTTCTGAAACTTTGCAAGAGAACACTTCTCCAGGGTTGTTTACACCCCCTAGAAAAAGTACAATCACAGATAATCCGGTGAAATTTCACATTGCGGAAGTTGTGGAACTTGTCTGACGCAAGACCTTTCAGCGGCAGCTGTAGCTGGATAAAAAGTAGTCTTCAGTACAAGCCCATACATGAGGACAGATCGTCTGCTGAAGCAGTTATCATTATGATGTAAATTGCCGCTTAAAAATTTTGCACCAAACAATATGAAAAGGTTGCATTAACTTATAAGAACGGAATTTGCTTTGAAGATACCCGGGACATTGACAAATACGGAGAAATTTTAATTATTTCCCACGATCTCCCATTTTCTCAGAAGCACTGGAAGTAGAAGTTAGGATTTCCAGTGCCCGAACGCGTTATCTAGCTATCATTATTTGGCAGAGGGAAGGTAAGTTTAAAAAGCATACACGGATTCCGCCAAAGAAGGGGCATTTTGTCGTATAATTCGTATCGCTGACAGTAATTATACTAGATCAAAGTATCTTTAACAACCCGAGCACTCAGTAATTGGACCAAAGTTTTCCTTCATGGGCATTGATGAGTACCTGCCGTTTTGACATTAAAAAAGTCCAGCTGACTACAACCAAAGCCATGAAAAATGAGGAAACGGCCCTAAAATTGATTAGCTGAAACTGAAGAGTAAGGAATGTGTGTTAAATGGTCGATGACCCGATCAGTAAATCTTAGGTTCAGGGAAATGCGCACGCTAGATTGACGTCTAAGAAACTGGGGGAGGGTCAAAAGGCCGGTTGCGTGTAAATTCGCTATCAAAAATTGGCCTATCATAGCGAAAATTTGAAGATCTTCGGTAGATGGGAGGCAAATATGGTAAAAAAAATTGTTAGTGAAAACAAATATCCTACAGAAGATAACCCGCTGTGAGCATGTTCATCTTTAGTACTAACAAGCAATAGGCTATGAGGCATCCTATGAAGTCTAGCAGAAAGACAAAGGTACTCATTTGAAAAGCCAATTTCTCACACAGTGCAGGAAGTCGAACAGCCAATCTATTACGATCGCTAAAACGGATTTCATTTACTGGCTTGGACAACGGCTGCTATTTCATGCATCACTCAGGCATCTAAAAATTGAAAATCCAATTTAAACTAAGAAATTAGACAAAAGCAACACTTTCTCTGATGCTATTTCCCCCTACACAGCAAAGAAAATAATCTCGCGAAGCACCACATAGGCCATTTTCAGCAATCGCTTTGCCCCTTGGAGAACAAGATGCCCGAATCCTTGAATTACTGGCACCACTATGTGCCATTATGGACTTTCTGTCAGATGAAATCACAATGAAACGACATGACATCAATAACATCTAAATCCAGGAAAAAAGTGAAATGCAATTGAGTGGACGACGAAGAAGGAAACGCATTTCAGATGACGTTACAATCGAGTAACATTAACATAAAGTGGAAATTCATCAATGGAAAAAAGAGAAACATCACATTTGATAAATTCAATCTCCTTTTGGCTTTAAAGTAAGCTTGAATTCACACCGAGCTTGCAATTAAAAACGAGGCCTTTTAATTATTGACATTGAGGCGAATCCACAGCATTGCTAGAGAGAAAATGCTACTGGTATTCGCGTGTTCCGCCATCATATCTATCGGCGGACAGTGGCAAATAAAATAATACGTAGACCTCACTTTAAATCACTAAGTCATGGTTAAGCACCCAGTTTTTTAAGATAGCGAATACCGGGAACGAATAGGGAAAAGTACTCCTCCCCAATGCGATCGACTTTACCAGAGAAAATAGATAAATGCGAAGTGGTAGACAGTCCTATAATAAATCCAGAATGAAAAAATTGAAAGCAACTGCGATTCATATAAACAAATTTGAATGAAGATTAAATTTTAAGAATATAATAAATTTATACCCCGCGATTTCATGTTTAACTCATCAGTCGACTTCCTTTTCCACTGAATAATGCATCGGTGGAAGGAAGACCACGGTATAATTTCAGCGGGTGATTTTGAAAAACTAAATTATTCGAGAACTCCGATTTTTGGCTTTAAAATAAAAACAGCACCCCCGGGTTGGTCACAGTCACGAAAGCCAGTGTAAATTTCCAAACACTCTCAGCTCTGCAAAAAGCAGAACAGAAAGTCTTGAAATCATTGCTTTTGGAAAAGGGTTGTCACCACCCACTAAAGAGAAATGATGCCTCTGGAGCACCAATCGAGCGAAGAGTGTTAAAAGACAGAGGAAGCACACTCGAAAGTTCATCAAATGGTATCACTAACGACTTCTACATTTATTTCCTCTGTTAAGGAAACGCACCTTTTGGCAACAATGCACCAGAATTTCGTTTAGTGTTCACGACGTCTATTCCTTATCAACTTGTGGTAGACTACCAAAACAACTCAAATCAGCTCAAAACAATAAAATAAACGTGGAACGAATACATTTTTTAGATTGAATCATTCGGAACACTAATGGCGATTGAGGCTATAATAACAAAAAATAAACCATTTCAATGGCCGTGGTCAATTTTCCTCTGAAGCCATAATAGCAAGTGTATCAAGCAAATATCAATGAGGCTAATGGAACTTCAGAGATTTATGTGCAAAGTACAGCTGTACTTTTCATTGAGAGTGTGATACACCTAGATGCTACAATTTTTATTGATGAGGACACTAAAAAGGACTGAGAGAAGGATAAGGGACAAGGAAACAAAGTCCAAATTGAATCACCACAGGATGCCATAAGTAGCACCTCATCCGTCATGACTGACTCGTGGTGTTGTTCTATTTATAAAAACCTGAAGGGAAATTAGGAAATCCCCATACATAATACATCGATGCCGAGATATCCATTGTTTGCAAAAGGGCGTTGCCTGGAGGTCATCGAAAGCAGAAGTCTGCGCCATCACGTGAAATTACTGGGCAAATAAGCCTTGCTCAGATAGAATAGCACTCATCAGTGACTCAAAAGCACATCAAAATACTAAAAGAATGACGAGCAGCAATTAATTGAGAATGTGAATAATCGCATCTAGGCAAATAAAACCAAATCATTTCTTATTTTCAAAGTCAACGTGGTAGAAGTGGTTTAGTCTAATTCCTCATTTTACGGAGATAAAAAAACGTCATTGGGCACATCTATTATCCCACTGTGAACAAGAACCCAAATCGGTCAATGCATTAACAAAGTAGTGGTTAGTAAGGCATAATGCAGTGTGTTTGTTATTCAATTAAAACAGTACTTTGATAAAAAAAAATTTTACTTATTTTGGATAACCTTCCCCAGAGACCCACAACAGAATCCAAACTAATGTACAATTTAAGTAAAGCAGGGTACCATACAAGTAGTCTCGATTCAAAGGAATAAAAACCCCTCTTCACCATGTAAAGTAGAGAGGAGGGGTGGGTTTATCTGGGTTAATTGAACGTCGCAGAGGAAAGACATAGGTACAACGAGATAATGGAAGGGTGAAAAGGAGCAAGCAAAAAATAGGCATAAATTAAGTACGACGTCTTGACGTAATTTAACGCCTGACTGAGCCCTGGTAAGGGAAAGATATTAGCAAGTCAATCAAAATAAGAAAAAATGGTTTATAAAAGTATGCTGTGAACATTTTCAACATTTTCATGGCTTTCCACAACTTAAAGTGGATAAAATCGAACTATCTTCCTAATGTAACAGACATTGTTTCTTAAACGCGCATAGTAAGAGAGGCGTTAAAATGTGAAACAATGGCGGAGGAAAAGGAGGCAAGTATGTGGTCCACTTTTAGTTCAATAAGAGCCTTTTGGGGGAACTAAAACAGAAACCAAAAGTACAGTGGCAGTAGTATGATGCCAGAGATTGCAGATTCCGGCAATAGCACTCTATTCAGCCATTCAAATGTCCTTTGAAGCAATAACATGCTGATTTCAAAAGTACACTGTTGCTATGTAATTTCTTAAAGCATAAAACCAACAAACCGGGACATTTAATTAAACTATTCCGCTCGAATTGCAATGGTCTAGATAAATCAACCTCTAGTAATTTTTAAAAGGAAAGTTGTCGAGGGAGAAGCAGTAAGTTCAGGAACTTATTGCTCAAACAAGTGATTAGGAATGAGAAAATGTAGATTCCAAATAGAGGCCTTCAAGAATCTTGCACAATTTCAAAAGATGGTGAAAAATACCCATGAGGGAAGTTCATTCGAATGATCTCTACCACCCAATGGATGAAATGTGCGACAACAATTATATTTTAACCAAGTAGAGCATAAGTAATTGGAAAATAACCTTCTAACTCACCTTGGTCTGCTGGCGTTTTCGGTCACCATGCGATTAAAAAAATCCTCTGTCCTGGCCTTCTGCTCGGGCTCATTCAACCAAGACTCGAGGTCGGAATGAGCTGTAGACAGAGTGGATGAGCCAGCAATGGTTCGGGGTTGGGTGGAGGGCAGACTGGTAGTGGTGACACTGCGATTCATCCCAAGAGGCGAGTGGTATTTTCTAGCAGGAGAAGTCTCTTCACTCCATGCACGTCCCTCCGCTTCTGTTGAAACCTGTAATAATTATTGTGTTGTGAGTTTTACAATATGTCCAAGAAAGAAGCGTGAAGGAAGGCAATCTTCGCCTACTTTATCACGGAGGAGGGCGGCAGCTCTGCTATTATACTTCTCACTGAGTGACCAGCTTGATCGATAGTCCGATTGAGATTCAAAGAAGAGACGAGCGTTCTTATTGCCACCTACTTTCATCTTCTCCAACTCAATCGTCTTCCACTTGTCCATCGTCACGGAACGCACAAAGCTGTGCAAAAATAAGGCGTATAATACATAGCCTACTTTAGAAAGCAAGTAGAAAGCACGACAAACCATGAGTAAGACTGATCATAGTCCCGGTAAATGGTCTGCGCAAGAAAATGCGCAAAACTGATGCAATTAAGGGCGCAGAGCCAATTTCAAACGTCTTAAAACCAGCGCCTTCCAAATAAAAACTCATCCAAACAGGGCGGTACCAAAGCTAGACGGCAACATGGACTGTTAACAAAAGAACAAGAAGCAAGGCTGTTGATATATCTACAGAGGACAGAAGTTTGACAAATGTGGTATCGACTAAGTTGCATCACAAAGACCTCCATGGACCCACATAAAAAGATAGAAGACTTTACCTACCAAAATTCGCCAATTGGCACGTAGTTTAAGCAAAACGAACAAAAATGAACCTATTTTATGAGAATATTATTTGGTGAGAAGCACGGAAAATCAGAAATTTGATAAACTTTGGAGGAGTGTTTATCTTCACTAAATTCGGTAGTTAGATTTGGAAACTGTAGCGCCCATGCGTGATTTTGTAACTAGACC